CCTAGACTGTCGCTGCCGAAGCCGCCATATCGGCTGCCTCCGCCCGAGAACGACAGTCCATCGTTGCCCGTGCCGATATACTTGTTCTTATTCGCCTTTGCCTTGCGACGCTCCGTCCTAATCTTCTCCACGTCTGAGAGCAGCTCCGCAAGCTCGCGCGAGCGGTTGCGAACTTGAGGTGGGACGCATCAGTATCCAGCGTGGGCGGCAGTAGCCTGCGAGCCCAAGACACACCGTTCAAGCCCTGGTCCTTGCCCTTGTCGTCTATATAGTGGAAGCTGCGCAGCATCTTGATAGTGGACAGGTGCGAGCGCGCATCGTCGACCACGCGCTCGGAGCCGTTCTTGACGAGGTATTCCAGTAGCTGGAGGGCCTGGCGCGACCGTCAGCGGCAACACTCCGACAATCGGACATCCGCGCACCTTGTATATCTGCCGCCATTGCCGCGCCTCCTTCTCCATGAATCTCGCGTAGATAGCTGGCATGATTTCGTTGAACTCCGGGCTGAGGGTGGGCTTAGCATGGTATGTGTGGCGACGGAAGGGAAGTGCCGCACTAGTTGAACGTCCTGCGAGTGATTTGGTCAGCATGATGTTCTTGGGGCAGGCGCATTGCACTCACTTGTTGGCGATGTTCTGCATGAGCGTCGAAGAGGCCCCCCTGCGCGTTATGAGTGCCTTGTAGCCACGCATCCGCGCCTCACGCACCATGGGTCGTCGTTCGTCGCCTCGCCGACCAACGCCTCGACCTCCGATACGTTGAGCACAACGTTCTTGGCCTGCATCTCCGTCAGCACGTTAAACCGCATTCCAGCGCGCGCAACGCACCTGGTTGTACATCGACTTGATGTCGTACATCGTGATTTGGGAGAGCTGGCTCGTGAGGGATTCGATTTTGTCCATCTTGGCTGACTGTTGATGTATCTCCGGGTGTTGTATAGATACAACTAGGGGGCCAGTCGAGGAGGCGCAAAGTGGCGAAGGGGAGGAGCCAAGCGCGGGCGGAGAGGAGGAAACGCGCCTGAAAGCGTGGCGATTCGGGACAAGTTGGCTGTGTTTGTGTTCGGCGGAGGTTGCCGAACAACACGGACACATGTTCGACTTCGACTTTAAGTTTCTGAGTTTGTTCTGAGTGACAGTCCTCTCGAGTGTGGCGGTCGCCTTTATCGTAACTATCACTCCCGAATCGAGGCTTCATCTTCAATGCTTCCGATACTCTTCTCCTGGAATGTAACTTTAATTGTAAGCCTGGTAGCACGCCGGCTACGTCTAGGTAATTCTTGCAGGCAAAATGATTCGCCATGTTCGATTTAAGTACCTTCCTCGGTATCCGACGTTTCCCACAGCACGAATTCTCAGGCAAAGCAGGGGATTAGGCCCAGGTTCCCTCGATACACGCAGAACCGGAGACGATCACTGGCCCACCCCTGGGCCGAAGGGAGTCGCACATGTACCAGCAGCACAATTACCTTGCGTCGCCTCTTTGCTTAAAGGGTCTGACTTAGCTTTCGGGCTGATTTATAGTACAATCTTCAGAGTTGGCGACGTACTTACAAGCGCATATGGGTGGCCTCTTGTGCCATAAAGGGCAAGTCGCAAATCACAATTGATGTAGCACGTGCAACCAGTGGTATATGAAATTACGTAAATAAGAGCTTCCGTTTGGGGCCTCGGCTCAGGGGCTTCCGCCTGACCAGCTCTGACTCTTCACTGCATCTTGTCCCGAACCACCATCATCTCTGCTTGGAAACTCACGTCGAAGGCACACTTCATTTAACCTCCCAAGCATTACAGTCTTCTCCTTTAATGCAAAGCAGGGACTTTCTCAACTCAAGCCCCTCCGCGAACTCGTTCTTCGACATTTTTAATCGCCCGGAGGCGGACGATCCTCCGCGCGGACGTCCACTCACTCCGATAGAAATTGGCCAGCGAGGAAATGGGATCGATGGACACGCCTTCTCGGAGCCCAAGCCGATCCAAGCTGCGTCTCCGTCCACGGAGGCGGACGGTGCTGACGATCTCGGGAACAGCGTCGACGTCCAGCCTGCGTCCTACACCGAAGGCGAGGACTACGTCCGATCGCCCGCGGCCATGTTTCTTTCCTCCTTCAGCCCCATGGCAAACACTGTCGTCCCACTCGAGCCGGACGCGGAGGGCGCTGTCGTCGGTGGCTACACGCTCAGCGGCGTCATCGGCTACGGCGGGTTCTCTACGATTCGCAAGGCCTTCTCGCGCTCAGGTTCCCTCGTCGCTATCAAGATCGTGCGCCGTGATGATGTGCAAAAACAACACAATCCCGCTCAGGCTCGCCGTCAGCTCAGCCGGGAGGCGGAGACGTGGGCGACGCTCTCGCATGAACACGTGCTCCCGTTGTTCTCCGTCGAGCGGTCCGCCTCAGCAGACTTCTTCATCACAGCATTCTGTCCCGCGGGATCGCTGTTCGATATTCTCAAGCGAGATGGGCGCCCGGCGCTTCCGCAGGACGATGCCGGAGTCATGTTCCGTCAGGTCGTCCGCGGCCTCCGCTACCTCCACGAGACGGCGCGGCTCGTGCATCGCGACATGAAGCTCGAGAACGTACTCGTCGATGAGATGGGTGTCTGCCGTATCAGCGACTTTGGGTCCGCACGGCGAATTGGAGAGCCTCTCCAGCCGGAGGAGGACGAAGCCAGTGAACCTGGTCGCCCAAACCTCCCTAGCGCCGTGAAACCTGGCATGTTCCACCGCACATCCTCCCTTGCCTACCCGACCGCGAAACAGGTGCCACTCCATCTGTCGCTCAAGCGCCACCAGGGCCCACGCCAACATCGGAACTCCACCGCGTCAGGCGGTCGTAGCATGGGACACTTCTTTGCCGACGGCTCACTACCCTATGCAGCGCCAGAGCTTCTACTGCCCCCTCCATCTGGCACGCCGCTGCTAGCCGATCCTTCGCAAGACATCTGGGCTGTCGGCGTGATGCTGTATGCCATGCTCGCCGGGCGGCTACCGTTCACGGACCAGTTCGAGCCGCGGCTGCAGATGAAGATTATACACGGTGCGTTGCTTCTCTACAAGATTTTCATAGCATACACCCAGCTTGGCACGCGCGCGGCATGCGTGCGTCAACCGGTCACGTAGCATATACCCTGCGTGTAGAATTCTTACTGATACGTTCGACAGGCACCTATCAGCTGCCGCTGGGCATTGGCTCGCGCGCGGAACGTGTGCTACAGGGATGTCTGGAGCGCTCGGTCGAGGCTAGGTGGACCGTCGAGACGCTCGATGAGGATGCCTGGGGCGTCGGATGGGGTGACAATGAGAGTGAAGAGCAGACCATCGGCCGCGACGTAGACGAGCGCCAGCGTGGCTACGAAACCGAGCACATCCGCCGCCGAACGCCATCTCGAGATGGGTCGCGCAGGTCTTCGCTTGGTCGTCACCGCACCCCGTCTCCGCGTCCCGCGCATGCGTCAGCCTGCATACCCGAGGAGCAGGAAGTGTACTACGCACCCACGTTCCATGACTCGCCGACCTCGGCGACCTTCAAGCGCCAGTTGCGCGACCGTACAACGCCGCGTGACAGGTCCATGTCACCGACTCCTGTGCGGGAGCGGGGTAGGAAAGGCGAGGTCGCCCCACGGGTCAGCGCGCTCAGCAGGAGCCGCCCGCGGGAGTTCGACGATGTCCCGTCGGCCGACCAGAACAGTGTTTCTCCAGTCCGCAACCAGCACAGCGTCTCACCCGTCTGCACCCGCAATGCCAGTCAATCGCGGAGCGTCAGCCGCCCGCGGGGCTCGCGCGACCTAGGACACACACTCGCTCGCGACTACAGCACGTCTTGCTCTCCGCCCTCAGGGCCGACAATGTCGAGCTCGATATCTAGCGCGCTATCCGGCCTGACGCGCTCCTCGTCCATCTCCTCCGGCAGCCTGCCGCGCTCGCACTCTCGCGGGCGGTGGACCGGCCGCGAGCAAGTGATCGAGGAAGGCTACGCGCGCGACTCGCCATACGACGGGCGGTGGAGCACGCATATCGAGGCGGCTGGTGCGGGGGACCCGTTCGTCGAGGAGCCTATGCCTGACGTGGCGGAGGACGCACACGCCGAGTTCCCGCGAAGGGGGAGGCGGAAGGCGTCGCCGTATGCGCCATATCGGAGGGCCTCTAATGGTAGCCTCGACAGCGAGGGGTTGCAGGGCCGTCGCGGGAGTAGCGCGAAGAGGGACGGCAGTCTCGTGGGCGGGCGGCGGGAGGGCAGCTCGTCGGCGACGCGTAGACGCGAGGGTTAGCTCATGGGCAATGTGTCGTGCCGACAACATGCCCGGTGTGGACACTCAGTGGCCGCGCGGGGCCGTGGACAACGCAGCAGGAGCGTGTTTGTGGAGGGCCGAACTGAACCCTACCCTTCACGGGCCAGGTTGGCAGCGATATAGCGTCAAGCCAAGTCACCGCCCTCTTAACGACCAGGTTCAAAATGCGCCTTGTTGGCGCTAGGGTGCGCCCATATTTATCTGTGTGTGCTCATCTCCCCACTCGTTACTTCTGTCTGTTTTCATAGTCTTCTTTCTCTTCTGGCATCCGTTTCCGGTTTACCTTACATCTCCTCTGAGTCTTTTTCTGTCTCCTTTCCATTCCTCCTCTGTTGTATCTTGCTCGATCCGTCATCCCTCTTTCTCACGTCATATCCCCTTCTCATGTCGTATCCCTGCTTCACGCATCATAAGTTATCGCCACGCACGCTATACTGTATGATTATCACCGCTGCTTGTTAGCTAGGCATCTATACCGTTTGTTCGTACTGAACCGTGGTTTATCGTTTCATATTCGCTGTCTGTGCACGTCGGTCAGCGCGTTCGTTTACTGCTTGCATACCCCGCTGTATCAATATGGCAGTGTGTTACTGACTGCTGGGATCTAGTGGCAGTGTTCGCAGTATTGGCGCGTGTCTGCACAGAATTAAGTGAGCTCCGATTCCCAGCCTTTGGCAGATACAGACGGCGCAAAAACAAGGTGCAAAGAGATGGCCTCCACCCGGGTTCGAACCGAGGATCACCTGCATAGGATTCACCCAAAGCAGGTATCTTACCACTAGACCATGAAGGCATACCGGTCAGCCTTTGCGACATGTAATATTCATTAGACACTGATGCAAAGGCGGCATGGACACAGTGATCCTACGGAATGGGTACAGACGATTGGGATTATGAGAAGAGTATCTGGAGCACCCGGACGATGCAAATGGCGGAAAGTCGTTCATAGTACCAATCATGAAGCTTGCGATACAAAGGCGCGAATTTTGAGATTTATGAATGTTCGGCATCTAAGTAAGTGACGCTCTACGATTGGCTCTATGTGTTTTACCACCAGAAAGCCGCGGACGGAGCCATAGGGCAGGTGAGCGCTGAGCAGCGCTATTGTGAAGTTCTGCGTAATCATACAGGACTGCTTTCCGATATAACAATGCATTTCATTCTCATTAGTCTCGTTATTCGTCACTTTATACACTTGGTGCCACAAAAGTTGCACTTTCAAACCCCCTCCATCAAATGGGATTCGAGAGCATGACTTCGATCAGCTTCCCCATTGCCTCTGTCCTATATGTGTCTTCGCTTATGCTCAGCGGCACCAACCCGTCATTGAAAGTCAACATTTGGGGCGATGCGACGGAGTATTTGGGCCACTCCATCGCGCCGCCGCCGTTGGGGTCGAGGTGGGCGGCGAAGCGGATGGTGTAGCTTGAACATCATCGTCAGCACGTCATGGTTTTCATCGCAAGTTGATCAGTACTGACTCGCTCATTTCTCCCAGCCCATATGCCGCGTTGAGCAGGTCGGACCCGTGAGCCTACGCAAGACGTCAATGGCGATAGTCATAGAGCGACTAGGAGGCAACTTACGGTACCCAGCAACGGCACATTCTTGAGACGCTTGTTCACTGTATACCTGTTAGCGCGGTGTATCACACTGGATTTTTATCGTGCTCACCAAATCCCCACATGTCCTGCTTTCCGTCTCTTTGTTGCATGAAGAACCGCCTCGGGCCCTGGAAGACCGCGTCTCCCTGGAACGCTGCGATACGCTTGAACTGCGGGGTGATCGCGTTCAAATATCCAGTGTCGAAAGGCGAGCCCTGCGTCGGGTCTTGCGGGTAGAGCTCGAATAGCTCATCCAAGTCGGCAGGGTCAGCCCTGGGAAGCCAGTATTGCTCTATATATTCACGGGCTTCATCGTCGGTCGTGACGTTGAGCGTCGAGAAGGAAAACAGAGTGCCCTCGTCGTCGCAATCACCTGCCGTGGAGATCAGACTAGAGTGGCGCGCGGGTCAAGGAGGGAGCGTACCGCTGATGAAGGGAATATTGGCGACGGATCCCTGCTGCACGAGCGCTTGAGGGCTGTCCGCAAGGAAGACACCGTCCGCACGCGGAAGCCACGTCAGAATCAACGACTGGCGTAGTGCTTTAGCTACGAGCCAGATTGTGATGACAAGGTCGGACAGACCTGGTATGAGAACAGGAACGGTGTGTTGTCCTGAGCGCTCTTTAGGTCGTCGTACGGTACTTCGCGCAAGCACTGCAACGTGTCGCTGCTACCCGTGCATCCAGTCGCATCCACAAGCTGATCATAGTACATCTGCAGATCAAATCAATTAAGCAAAACAAGTATACGGAGGGTCAAGAGGGTAGACGGACCTGGCCGTTCGTGATGTCGCCCACCGGGATCGGCGAGCCCGAGTTCATGACGGCCCCGCGGAAGAGACCTTCCGTGTCCCCACCATTTGTGATCATGTGCAAGGCAACGCTGATCGCCCCTGCAGATTCGCCCCAACTGCAAGAGGATTCCGTCGTCAATGAGAGCAAGTCATGATATCCGATTTCACTTACATGGTGACCTTCTCGGGGTCGCCGCCGAACGCGGAGACATATTGCTGGACCCAGCTGACGCAAAGTCAGCAAGTGGCAACTCCAACGCGTGATGGTTATCAAGCGTACTGAAGGGCGGCCCGTTCTGTGATTAGGTTAGAACACATGGGTGCATATTGGATAGGTTACGCACGGTCTTGCAGTCCGAGATTGCCTACTCCCGCATCCTTGACTTCTTGGCTTGCAAGGAACCCGAAAGCTAAGTGATATCTTGGTCAGCTGCTGTCTTCGTCGAAGAGCAGAAGCCCACGGGACCACGGCGCTGACATACCTGCGACCCGGTAGTTCATGGACACATAAACTATGGAAGTGAGATTTAGTGTCAGGTGGCAGCACATTGAATTTCTAGGACGCACCGACAGGTTCGTCCAAATCCAGCGAGCGTTCCACGATAACTCCTCCATCGTACATGGAAGTGCTGCCGATCTCGAACCCGCCTGTCCCGTCATAAGTTAAACAACTCAGAGCCCCGCACATAAGAATAACGCTTACCGCCAAAGATCCACTGTTCATCAAGCGCACAGTATGAGCGACATTACAACGATCAACTTCAACTTGATCGAAAGACGTACCACGATCACGGGGAGCTTAGCTTCAGGAGTTGTATCGGCTGGTCTGACAACGTTGATAGTCAAGCCTGCGACTATGAGTACGATTTGCGTGCCGAGGAATATTGCTACGTACAATCTTCATCGTTCGGAAAGAGAACCGGATAGATCAGGTCAATAATCTCGTCAAGCGTCTCGTCCACGAGGCCGTCAGGAAGGGGAAGGTCAACTGCCTGTTGCGGGCACGTCGGACTGTAGGCCGTCGCATTGACATCGGTTGTGTACTCCGTGATGCGTTCCGGCAGACGAAAGCGAAGGTTGCCAACACTGTACACCTCGTCAGGTCTCCCGCATCCTCTCGACAAAGTAAAGACGTACGGCGGCTCAGCAAATGGGATGCCGAGGAATTTCTCGACATTGCCTGACGATGTGCCAGTGACAGTGGCGCCGTCGAGGGTTACGGTGGGTGGCGCACGCTCGGCGAGGGGGCTGGCGGTCGCCCCGAGCGCGGCGAGCAGCAGGGAAAAAGCTCCGAGGTACGACACCATTCCGAGTCCCGCGAGATGTGAGGCTGAGGGAGAAAGCTGCAGTCCCAGCGTTTTATATCGCCTCTGATTCCCTAGGCCTCAGCGCATTTATGTAAGATGATATTGCCGGTGAAGCAACACGGTCAAGCACGCCGGCCCGCAGTCACTTCTTGTATCATGTTCCTTGTCCTTGGGCATCGATGACCGACGTCAAGTCTCTGTAAACAATCTGTATGTTGACTTTCTAGGTAGGAAGTCGCCGAGTAATCTAGGTCAGGTGCATCGTCAATTACCCCGCGGGGCCCCAAGATCAGCGACCGGGGAATCACGCGGAGGCAAAGTTCAAGTCACGGCGCTCGCGTCCATGTGCGCCTGATGTACGCAAAAGACACGAACTGTGGTTTCCAACGAAGAGATGTCCTCGGCAGTCGGATACGCGACAACGCCGGGCTGCAATGACGAGTGAGCACTGTGAACAGCGGGCAGCTGACGAAGTGAGCGCAACGGAGCACATGCGTATCACCTCGTATGACCTCTCAGGCTGCATCAACAGTTCATGTTCAAGTTCTTCCCAGGCTGCAGCCTTGATGTCCACGTCAGCGAGGGTACGATTTTTCGCTTGAAAGCTTGGCAGAAACGAATGAGAAGTATCTCGCACGGGAAAGCAACTGCCGACTATTCATTCGACCATTATCATGTGCGAGTACAACCAATCCAATGCTCTGCGTACCTAAGCGAACAATGCCACCGCCAAAGCCATCATCGTAGCGGCCATCGCGCCTGCGAATCGATGAGTCGCCGCAGCGTTTTCGTCCGAGCCTTCGCCATCGTCTGCGCTGTCAGAAGTACCATTGCTCGAGGTGCCTTCCGAAGACCCTGCGCCCGAGGAGGCCGCGGACGATTCGATGATGTTAGGACATCGTGGTGCTACGAGCACGTCCCCATAGCGGCTTGCTGTCCAAAGTACCACACCGTTCGTCCAGCCGAAGCCCGCCTGTTGCGATCAGGCGTGAGAGCTTGTACAGCGCATAAGCACAGCAACAGACGCACCTGTACGGTGTATTCCCCGCCGCTGCCCGCGGAGTCGATATCGAGGTTTGAGAACTTCTCAAACATCTGTTGCAACGGAGTCAGCGACGACAGTTGCGAGCAACGCGAGGGCATGTCTTCACGTTTCCAGTGTTGTTGATGCTATTCGTGATGTTGAGTTCCTATAAGGCCGGTTAGTCTGACCGTCAGCAATTAAAAACCACCACCTCACCTGTCGGACAGTCTTGGCAACAGGTCTTCTATCTCGCCGCCCGTCGCATGCCTACATATCGTCAGCCTTTACATTCATGTTCAGCTCATGGCAGACCAAGCTCACCAACTGCATAACGCCGCTGCCACATAGCGATTTGCCATTTCCCTTTGCAAGACAGCTCCCCATCCCTCCCCGTCGGTGGCATTACCACCGTTGACCACAGTCCCGTCGAGCACGTTGAGGTCGGCCTCCGCCCCCGTCGTACTCGCATTCACGCCCGCGCCTACCGGTTGCCCCGGCAATGCATTCTCGAGCAAGCCCAGCTGGCCCTCCGGCACGAGCGCAAACGTCGACTGGCCGTCTGAAGGAGTAGGCAGCGCAGAGCTCGTGACATTGTCCGGGAGGGCTCGAAGAGCTTGCATAGCTATGTAGACGTGTGGCGGCCATGCGTTTGGCGCATCCCACTGTAGACCGGTGTTGAGGAACGTGGTCGGGTACGTGCCGTTGTAGCGCGACATAACGAGGTTGACGGACGAGAAGAAGCCGAAGGCGGCGTCGGAACTGCTCAAGAGCTCGTCGGGGATGATGCCCGACCAGAGAGGGTAGAAAGTCGCCGTGCTGAATACGTTCGATTGTTCCCTCGTCTGGATGTTGAAGTCATAGAAGGCCAGCTGAGAGGAGTTGTCAACGCCAAGCTCGAAATTCGACCATGCTTGCGCACCTTGGAGGAGTTCCAGAAGAGATCTAGGACACCTCGCGAATAGTGGCGGCTTGCCTACGGTGTTCGTCCGACGCAGTGCCGTTCGCAACCTGGTCGTACAAGTTCGCAAGCAACATGTGGTTGCGATCTGTGTGGTGGGATGAGA